GCAATCCCAAAGCAGAGGTGCCTTAAACCTGCATTCTCTCTAACAGCCCGCAGGGGGCGGCTCATTTGGGTGCAGAAAGAAGTAAGATTATATAAGAGTTAATGGGAAAATGACCCTACTTCTCACTTGCTTTGTTACCTCAGTAAACATTTTCTAAAGGAGTTTATGTTTTTAATCACTGGTTTCGAGTCTGCTTCTATATTGCATGGTGTTAGTTTTGTAAATTATGGTCCCATTTAGAGGACAATAGTCAGTAAAGCTGCTTTAAGGTGGGGCTTCCTTGTGTTAGAATGGTTGCTACCATACATTCTGTCCTCTCAGCCATAGTTACATCCAGTGTAAAAAAAACAAAATCCAAACTGGCAGTCCATAAAGCAACAAGTGACTGCGTCCATCTTTTTTCATAGTCTATGGACTAGAGCTGCAGTTTCAAGGTGGAAATGCTCAGCCACGGCGCTGACTGCTTGTTTTCACTCGTTATGTGTCTTCTAGCATGTAAAGAACACAAAATGAACATGTTAACAAGGTGAAAAAAACCAACATTTTTAAAAATCTTTAAATATTTAAGTTTTAGAGTGCTAAAAGTCAGGCTATCTGTTTCACTAGTTTCTGTGCTTAGCTAATTTCGCCAGCTGCTACCAATCCTTTCATCTAATTCTTGACAAAAAGTTAATGAGAACATTCCCAAAATCTTACTTTTTTTCTTATCCAAGAGGAGGTAATGCAAAAGCAACCTCTGTGCAATACAATTCAAACGTAATTGAATTTAAGCCTCTCCAACAAATTTATGGTGTTTCTGTTGCTGTCTTACACTGCTTGTTTTGGTCCTAACAAAAACTTTTGTACTGGATCACAGTGGGTTAAAGAGTCCTCAAAAGTACATTAGCTTGTGAGTATTGTTACTTGGAATGCATGTATAGTGTAAGTGTGTGTGTTGCGGTGCAGAGTGTCCCGCTGGCAAATTGTAAAGTGGCCTCTGGCACCAGTGAGGTGAGGTTTATGTCCATGAGAGATCGTCCGAGCGCTCCACCGTCTCCTCCTGTCAAGAGGCTTCAGATGTGACCAAAACAGTACAACCTCACAACCACATCAAAGTAGAAAATGAAACTAGAATAAGATAATATTAGAAAGACTACGACCCCTGCCTCCCAACTCTGCTCCCTGCAATCAACCCAACTCCCTCCCTCCCCCACCCCAATGAATAGATTAATAACTATAATATGTGACAGAGTTTGTCTTCCTCTGCACAGTGGCACCTTTAGAATAGAATACTTTTCTACTAATAATACAATTATTTGTTGATATCAGAGTATCAAAGCTGTATGGTGGTAAGAAGAAATGGTCTCAAAAAGCACCCCATGCTCTATTGGAGTAAACATCAATACAGCTCAGGCTTACGGGCCCACGCACCCTTGTAAGGCGTCTTTAATGTAGCAGTCGAGTGTCCCTACGGAGAACAGAGATTAGGGTGCCGTTTGAGACTCGATTGGAGATACAGCGAATGTAAGCACTGGAAGCAAATGGATATGGCATGCATGGTTTGAATGGTCAATGCTGACATGGCTCATGGATGGCAGTTCTGAACTTTGACCCCTGACAGACCTTTCAGGATCTGACGGGCCCCTGATGTTCTAAGCTACATAGCTACTACTGCTGAGTCAGTAAATTCTATGCAGAAAAAGAGTACTTACAGCAGCAAACCTATGGATCTAAAGCTAACCTGGAGGCCGTGATACACAGGAGACGTTTTGAGTAATATTTGGCACCAAGTATGTTTAACCATATTTTGCTAATATATGCTTGAATCGTAAGCAATTCAAATAATTCTTGATTAACTCATCCTACCTTTGCTTAAGGCAATATTCTTCACCTCTAATTACTTCAAAAAGTTACTTATCTAACCTAATGATAGCCAAAAAAGTAGCCGAGTAGAAGAGTAAAGTTTTCTCTCGCTCTGCTGCTCTTTTGCATGAAGCGTGTTATATTATTGGTTAGCTATTCAGCTGGTTTAAAAACGGTTGTTTCTGTGCAAATGTACTTTGTCTTTTCTTCCCTCCCTCCCACATTACACCCTTAAAACAACATTGCTGCAGTGCTGAGCATAAAAAGCCCTTGTGTGCTCCTGTCCTTTAAAAATTAAAAGCCCTTGCTTGGAGAAAAGCAGTTTTTTTTTTTCCTTTTTTCCCTTTTCACAGCCCATGACAACTGCTGATGTTGTAGTTAGCTTGCAAAATTAATATTTACACGTGGAGGACAGCAAGAGCAAGTCCACAGCGATGCGCGTTTGTCCCTTTAAGCTCCATTTATGGCGTAAAGGACAGGAGATAAAACAGCAGCATCATAAATTAAACAGTGTGACTGAGGTTTAAAACATCTTTTTATTATCAGGGTAATAGCTGTCAAAGTAGTGCGTGACGGTATCAGCTTGGTGTTGTTTCATGTTTAGTTTATACAAAACAGTGCAGTGGTGGCTAGGGGAGTTAAAAAAAAAAAAACAAAATGCATTTTTTTGTCCTCCCCCCTCTTTGAGTTACACTTGTTACTCACAGTCCCAGAAACAGGTTGAGAAAATGCTGTGAAAAAAGTTGCTTGTGTTTCCGCAACTCTCCCTTTCTCTGCTGTATGGCTATTTTGCCGTCTTGATACAGCCTTTTGAACAATCGATTGTTTTAGCATTGCTTTTTTTTGGGCTATTTGAAAGTGTTGCCATAGGATGAGAGATTTATCTCTTAATTTGTTGCCTCTTGCAATGGACACAGGCAGCAAAATGCAAATAATAACACATACCAGTTCAGTAATATTACAAGAAAGCTCTGATAAGTTGCAGTTGTGTTATTAAAGCAAATGTTGAATTAAGTGTCAGTGGTACAGACACGTTTCTATCTTTGAAAGTCAATCGCCTAAACACCTTTTTTTAAACTTCACAGCTAAATTGTTGGTTTATTAAACTATAAAAATGAGACTGAGCTCCTCTCATCTCCTCTTTATCTCCCGCGTCTACGTTGCTCTTTCCAGGACTCGGATCACATGGCTAGTCGAGTCTTTTCCCCCTCCCCAAAACTTTTCACCGCAAGTAACCTCACATTCACGTGTCTGATCTAGTTGGATGGAAATGTATTGATTCTTCTCCAGAATCCGTCACGGTGAAAACTGAAGGGAATATGATAATTGTTTGTGCCTGTCACAGGTAGGAGACGTGGGAAAAGATGTGTTTAGGCTTATGTTGTGTGAAAGCGCGCGCGTGCGTGTGTGTTTGAGCAGATGTATACAGTAGGTGCACATGTAAGGGAGATAAAGAGGAGCGAGGAGGCTGTGAGTGACAGCTGAAGGGATGGAGCAGAAATGCTTTGAATAACGGATTTCTTCCAATTCCATCTAGCTATCTTCAAATTGTGTGCCGCGTGCACACACACACACACACACACACGCGCACGCACACACACACACACACACACACACACACACTCAGGTCCTCCGGTGAGAGAGAGATGCGTACTTTAAACTGAAGTGAGCATTTTTCTTAGTGTTTATTTCTGCGGCGCAAATTTTGACAGTTGTTCTGGCAAGTAAAGACAACTTTATATTAAATTCATCTGAAAGATATTCACCAAGAGGTAGTGGGCAAACAAAAAAAAAGTCCATCTCTTGTTTGTTTAATGTCTTTTTGGCACTGCCTTAAAGCATATTCACAGCTCAGCGGTCTCCTCTCCACAGTACCCTGAACCAACAACTTCTAAAAACCTTTTACTACAAGCGACACCAACGGAAGACAGGACCTAAATCTAGCTGAGTGTCCCCTTGAAGAGAGGAAAGACGAGGGTGAGAGGATGTGCGGAGGTGTGCCAGTGAGGTGGGTGAGTTATGGGGCTACACAGAAAAATGTGGAAGGTGAAAGGTGATACGTGAAGGCCGACAGACAGACTGACAGATGAACATCTGATCATCTCTTTAAGTTTTAGGTGAAAAAAATAAATAAATCAAGATGTGTCAGAAAAGAGACGTAAAAGGAAGCACCAATGGATCTAATGTTACCATCTAAAAGAGATTCATCAGTTTTGCTGAATTACACCTGTTCTACCCAGCCTCTAACGCATGATCTGCTGTCAATGTACTCTTTTCCACTCTTTAAAAACCGCTATGCAAGTTTAACAGCTGACCTGCGATCGGAGCGATGGGGGTAAATGCTACCAGCTCAATTCAGTTTCAGTTCAGACACTTGTGAAGTGAGCTTTCCCATGATAAAATCAATCAATGTGAAAGGACTGTATATACAATATGTATAGAAAACAATAAGTAGTGCCACAAATGAGCTGTGATAAATGGACACACTACATCTTCAGTTTATATTTTGAACCCAGCTGAACTGAAAATGAATCAACCCCTATGTGGAGGTATTAACTTCCTCACTTTTAAATAGTATCGTAATCAGAGAGTCAGCTGGGAGCTCTAAGGCTGTTCCCTTCATTGATCCAGCTCTGCTGATGTCCAAAAGGTCAGAGGTCAAAAGGTCAAAGATCACACAAAGTCTGTCACCTCTTTCCTCATCTCTTCAAATTCACATTAGTTTCATTTTTAGGAGAAGTTGCCCCAAACAGGAAACCACTTAACGATATGCTTTGAAAGTTTTTGCCAATCCTGTTTCCCTCCTTGAGAAAAATGCCAGAAAGTCAATTTATGGACATAGAAACTCATGAACATAAATTGAATATGCCTTCATATATAAGGAGTCACAGGTATAACTACAGTGATATGTGGTGAAGTGGAGTTGGGAACAACTTCTCCGTCAAAACTGACCCTGCTACAAACACTGAAACTCTCACAGGGCTCAGGATTCACAGTTCAAAGGCTAAAAGTTCACAGTTCACAGTCATAGATTATCAAACCCCCTTTCCCACCCCGCAACCCTGTGTGTCCCCTGCTTTTGCTCGCACCTCCCCCTGTATTTCTGATCATCCAACTCTTTGATACTCTGATCGGGCGATATCTACAGCCAGCACCTCTCAGACAGGCGTGGTCCTGCGGTTGGGGTCCTTGCTGTAGTCTTTAGTGAGCGTGCTGCTCTGGAGGAACTCCCTCTCTGAATTGAGCAGCCCGCCCATGCCGCCACCTGATTTGGTGCCAGCGTTGCCGGCCTCCCGTGGGTTCAGCGTGTACATGGGCATCTCGGAGGCAGCGGGCCCTGTGTAGCCACCTTTGCCCAGCGGTGAGGCATCGCGGCTGGGGGCTTCGGAGGAACGCACACTGGAACGGCGCCGGAAGCGGTAGCGGTAGGACGGGATGCGGCTGAAGGCGGACTTCTTGATTAGCTCGGTGCGGGATTTGGCCCGTAGCTTGCGGTGCTTCTCAATGAACATGTGCACGGCCAAGACGCCCACCATCTCAGCCATGATGAAGGAGAGGGCGCCGAAGTAGAAGGACCAGCCGTAGGAGTAGGACTTCTTGCTGTCACTCTGACCCGGGTCGCCAGAGTTGGCTGAGATATATACAATAATTCCAATGATGTTACTGAGGCCTGAGAAGAAAGAAAAAGAAAGATATTTCAGGGACGTGGTTCAATGTTCACTATGTAGCCTGGGAAGTCCAGGGCTGCCATCTTTCATCTACACGCTAAGTGGAAAATGAGGGAATCACTACTGTTTCCACCAAAGGTCCAAAGAAATTCAAAACATATATCTTAAAACTCAAACTAGTTGGTGATCAGCAGTGTGTCTTCAGGTTGAGAACTGATAATTGCATCTTTGCATCCATCCCATAGCTAACTTACCACTCCAAATCCAGAGAAATAGTCCTTTTAGACACTACATAAGTCATATTTGAAAAGCTGAGTTGCATCTATTAGTGTAAACTGGCACTATTGCAGTACCTGCTGTCACAGTCAGTGGTTAAACTCTGCTATGTAACATTACAGAATCTTGGCTTGTTCGATATTTGCTCCTATGAACTAAACATGTTATCTGATTAGGAAGTCACAGAATCGGAGAATCCATAATTTCTCTTTTCATAAAGACAACCTCAAACTCCATACTGCCCTTCCTCAGGCACTTAGCAATACACATATGGAGGAAAATCTTCAGAAGAAAATAAAACGACAAAGGATGCAGATCAGAGAAATAAAAAAAACAAATGCAGGGAGGAAGTGCAGATTGACAGAAACACTGGAGAGTCAGCGCGCAGCTGGGCTCTCTTATTCCCGACCGACGGTCCAGAGTACAGTGTTCTTGTAGTGTGGTGGAATTCACAGAATGGGAACAATTAGCAATCTGTAATTAACCAGAATCAGTCCCACACTATTGTGGTAAATAATTACCTATTTGGCTTCATGAATTTACTACAAGACCCAGTAAGTACCCACACATCACATTCAGCAGCAATTACAGTCCTTTGTGTGTGTGTGTGTGTGTGTGTGTGGCAGCCGCATGAGCATTGAGTGTGCATGTTCTGAGACGTTCTGTTGTGTTTGTATGAGCCACGTATACAGTGAACATACAGTGTATGCAGAGAACGGCTGCTGCAACGGTACACTTCCACTATAATCAATGAAAATTGGCTAAATTGGGTGTGAGAGCAGCATGTAAGGGCCTGCTTCAGCTAATGTTGTACTTCCCTCATCTGCAAGTACGTGAAAGTCTGAGTGACGAACAATTTGATGACTATACAGTCTGCACAGTGCAAGTTTTAGTGCGCATTCATGGAATATGTAGATACCAGGCTACTGCCACAGACTGACAGCTGCACAATTATGTCCGAAATGATAATCGCAATTGGTTTGATTTATACTGAGACCTTGATTATCATGATAATTAATTGATATTAGGGACAAATTAATCAATAAACACAGCACTGGTTTCACTTCTATATTGTGTGTATTCCTCCTAATGAAGAAGACTTATATTTAAGTTTGTCTTCAAGTAAATTCATTGGATTCATCGGAAAAACACTGGATTTGGACATTAGCTCAGCAGCTGTGCCTAGAGAAGCGTCTAGTCTCCTCACTCAGTTACTGCAGTGTTTACACCTCACAGATGAGTGTGACCAAAATGTAAATGTTCATTTAACTGTGGTAAGACAAAAACTTCTTCCAACTGTTTACTGACATTTTATATGCTTGTTCCTATGCTTGTTGTTGGAAGGAAAAGAATCCTATCTTATGCAAACAAGAAAACTTAATTAAAAATTTTTTGGGCTGACACCTGCCTTATTTAATGACATCGTAAATATAAACGTTGACTTTAATATAAATTAATGTAAAAACCTACATTAAACTGCTTACCCAGCATTTTCTTGCTATTATACCATTACTGGCCCAATTTAGCCACTTAAACTGCAGTCAAATGAGTGTCAGTATGGCCTGGTATCTTTGGTTCACTGAGGTTTGCTGAGCTATAATCTGCCTCACTTTCCTCTCCTGTTCCCTACATTTTGTAGTTGTCTCCCTGTCTGCTCTCCTTCTTCTGTGCTCCTCTGGTTGTATGTTGAACTTGTGGGAGGTAATTCCACATATGCTGTCATCACTGCTCTGTTGACATGACAGGGCAACATGCAAATCCTGCTGGAGAATCCCCTTGACTGTGTGGTGAGAATTCCAAAAGCACACCCATAACACCCGGTAATTGGAACTGTTCCTGGGGAGACTCTGTCCAGGGTGGAGCCTGATCAAGTGCGTTTATAAAGAAAACCCCTACCACTGTGAATTGCACATCACTGTGGTGTTTGGGCACATAACTACAATCTTCTTGGGTGACCCATTGCTTGAGTTGTATGTTTGCCACCAGTGACTCTTATACAGTTTAGGAGTTGCCAGTTCTTCAAACACATGTCGCTACCTTTCACAATTTCTCTTCTGTTGGCTTTGGATGTACTGTAGATCAAAAACGGTGGAAATATTTAGGAGCTCAGCTAGTAAGGGAAAAAAAAACAAACAAAACAATCAGCAGGAGGATCCCAAAGAGAGTGGAAACATACTCAAATGATGTCTTTCCTCTGATCCAATGTATAGCTGAGAAGGTGAAGTTTGCACATACTGCCAGGAGAACAGTGACTGGACATTGTAAATCAAATTTTCTGCAGAAAGTTTTTGTGCAACATCAGCAAAATTTAGTTCACCTGATGAAGACCCACACAGCACATGGTTAAATACTATGGGAGTTCTAATTTCCACTGTGTTTTTTGCACCTATTACCCATCTGGGGTTGGATGTGCATGCCATTCTACATATCCGACAAGCTTAAAGACATAGAAACACTGTATTTTAACATCTTAAACCTGTTGGGAATCAACAACAACAGTTCCAGTGACATCATTCTCTTAAGTTTAACTGACTGCATATCGTTTATTTCATATATCTGTTTGGTAAAGAAGCAGCTTGGCTACAATCTGTGCAACATATGACTCCTAGTGGGTTGGATTTAGAGGATGTGGAACAACCTCCCAGACATGCAGTTCCATGCCGTCCCCCCGTCTTTGCATAAGGGCATTCAAGGGCGGGGACCAGAAACTTCCTGCAGTGGGGGACATTGCAATCAGCTCCAGGCTTTGAAAGACAAAGATGCTCCATTACACCAAGGGTAAGAGCCTTGAATGAAGGACGTCTTTGGTCTAACTTTGGCCCAGGATCCTCCAGCACAACCACTTGTCCCGCCTGAAGATGAAATATGTTATTTTGCCCTTGTGTCTATCCTTAATAAACTAAATGCAACGGGAAAGTTAAAGGCAAGACATGCCTTGGTGGAAACACTGCAGGGTGTTTCTGACTTGGACCAAGCACAGCAGCAAACACAACCTTCCTCCATTCCTTAGTCCAACAATAAGGCAATGAGATCAGCAGGCATAAAACCACATTGAGATCTTTCAGTCCATACGTCAGCTCCATCCATTCCAATGCAACAGTCTTAGTACATGAACAAAGCAAGAAGTGAGGAGACCCTTTTGCCTATTGCCCCACTACGAGTGTTACAGAAATGGCTACTCCAGAAGGGCAAAAGATGTCTGGGCTACTATCGCTTTATTGTGTTACTTTGTACACCAAATATAACTTTATCTGATATGCATATGGAATTTTCTAGGTCTAAACAACAAATACTTTAAAAGCACGTGAAGTAGCTACCTCAAGGCTACCGCAAGCCATTGCTTTGGTTTAATGGATCAGTGAAGTTCATATTTAACCTCTGAAGCTTTATGTTTTTTAAAAAACTCTTCTTAAAACCCACTTTTACTCCTTGGCTTTTGACACAGCATGAGACTTTGCTCTTGTATTTAGCATTTTATTGTTGTTATTGTTTTAACTGTTTTATGTTTTATATAATTTATTCTTGGTGTACAGGCCTTTGTGTCAGCAGTGGTTGTTTTTAAAGTGCTTTATAAATAAAGTTGAGTTGAGTTGAGTTATAATTGAGAGGACATGGCCCATTTTCAGTGGAGTCATTCTGAAGTATCTGTAATGAAGCCGGCTTTCAAATTGTAGCTCTGCAACCAACTGATAAAAAACAACTTGTTGTCCCCAGCGTTGGTTGATACAATAAACCCTGATCCACCTCCTCCTCCTCCTGTTGATTCTGTTTAGTAGTTGAAAATGTCTACCTCCTATTTGTATCAGGTTCGGTAACAACAATTGGAAATTGTTGGCTGGACATTTCTAACATTCCAACTTTAACACTGAAAAAATGTTGTACTTATTAGTTATACGTAGCTGTGTTGCTTTGACTGATACATTCTGCTATTAGCCTGCAATAAATTACTATGAAATCATATGATGGCTGTTGTGTTTACACATGTCATCGTTTTGGCCATGTTTGGACTAACCTATTGTAGTGTGTATCATACGCCACACATTCGATGTAGTCAACGTGTAAGTGTCAGCCAATCATGTCATAGATGTGTGTTTGCACTCTCACACCCTAACAGTGCATCAAAGTGACTTCTTTGTATTCCTGTTGATCGATTAATCAGCTACTGTGTCCCATCTCCACACTTTGGCTCCTCACACAGGCTCTTCTGTGTACTTTAGATGAACAACAGGCCCCTCAACCAATATTTGAATGCGGCGCCTCCTCTATTTAACGTGGTGCCACAGTTCCACATGTACACACACTCATAGATACATGCAATTCAGATGTGTAGCCCCTTGAGGTTATCTGAAATGCAGTGGCCATCCTTGGATTTTAGTGCCTATAGAAATTCCTTAACATCAGACAGCTCTTTTTTTTAAAAGTACTGATGAGGGTGAGAAGAAGAGATGTAGCAACGTCCTGTACTCATTGAAGATTAATATTTTCATATTGGTTCCCTTTTCAGCAAATTAATGAAAGTCTTGTATGTTTCCAGAATGTATGTTTCAATGTTTCAGCTAAAAATAGTACAAAGATGTTTACCATGACTGTATGACCCTTGGTTTTATCCCTGTTCTGTTTCAGTGGCTGAGCTGCTGCTGTTCACGTCTCCTTCAGGAAGAAGACTGTCTCTGTATGTATGATTGACAGCCCAGAGCAACGTAGTTGAGTGCTCGGCAGCTGTGTGAGACCAGGACTTTCTATCGATCACATTTTCCGTGCTTGGCTTGTGGCTGAGACATTTTCGAGTTAGCAGAAGCAGCTATAGCAAGTTCATAGAATTGCCAGACAGAAAGGCAGCTGCTGATTCTGAATCGGTTCCTCGGTTGGAACGCAGCACCTGAGTAAAATTCTTACTGGCTTGTATATCTGGGAGGCCATCTAACTGAAAGGGGACTTGAGAAATTGTAGAAATGAATGCGATCAAATCTTAACAGCTTTTACTTTACAACTCTAAGTTTATAACAATGACAAAACAGAATAAAAATGAATTTTCCTTATATGAGACCTTTCCAACGTGTGAAAATATTCTGATTAACCTGAAAATCAACCCATAAATGTGCATAATTCTTTCTGTCATATGACTGGTACTGTAGCAAAAAGTCTACATTGTGTTTGTTTTTCTGAACCACACACAAAAAAGTATTGTTATTCTGATGTTACCTGGACATGAGACGTAACTATGACGTCAAACATGAGGTGTGAAAAGGCCTGTTGGGAAGTGCAATGAGGGGACTTGCGTTCAAAATGCAAAGTGACTGCTTCACAGTAGAGTTGATTTGGTAAAGCAAAGAAAAAAATGCCTTTTTGCTTCAATTCTTCATGTGCGTACAATGCACTGATAATTGATACTTCCTCAATAAAGAAGAGAAAATACACAAATTAACACAAACAGGACGATGCATACTCAGTGATGACTAACCTGCAGAGACAAAGAAGATTCCTGCACTGAGGATAACGTTGTGTCGGCTTCGGTAAAACTCACTGGCGGCCACGCAGAGGCCCCCGAGGAACAGCAGACCCACACTCATGATGGGGAATATGCTGGAAGCACGCACAGCACCTGCACACGAAGGAGAGTTGGAACACATTCATAGCTGAAAGATACAAATGTCTTTCGGTGTTTCAAAGATGTTTCTGTTCAGAATGAAACTGGTGAAGGAGCGTTTGTGTTGGAAGTGCAGAACGCTGTTTCATTTCATAGCCACTGTGCTGGAGGACAGAGCCAACGCAACACACACACACATGAGACACACATGGGCCAGTGTGCTGCTACATGCTTGACTGAGCCTGAATTCAGAACATGTTAAAGCATTCAGAGGCCTTGCTGGAGACGGAGCGAGAGAGCGAGAGATGGATGGAGAAGGAAAAGATGGACAAAAACCAAGACAGATGGAGAGTCACGCTGACATATGCAAGGCAAAAAAATAATGAATAGCACAGATGATGAATTTGAAAGCAAGGAGTGAAATATTTGTCAGAGCCCCATATGTGTGCAGGATGTGATAACGTTTAATGATATTTGCAGACAGCTTGTTGTTCAGAGCTGCGCTGTGTAGTATTTTTAAATATGGGGTTAAAGCTGAGGAATACTTGTGCATCACATGGTCCATAAAGCATTCAAATAAATTAGCCAATTCTAGCTTTCATTTGCAAATCTGTTTCTGTTTTCTTGCGTAGCAAAATATTTTCGCCATGACCGACAGCTGCAGTGACTGTGCGTACAAGCTCCACCCCTGTGGCCCACACCCCTGGGCTGTATGAAATGCCGGTCACTAGGTCCCTGCTCCTCATTGGCTGGCCAGCTCTGAGGCCTGCGATCTAATTGGCTGCCTCTGGGGATGTTGCTCTGTGTTCAGTGGAGCAATGAAAAACAGGCACAGGCTGAATCCATTTTCCCTATTTCTTTTTAGTTGCTGTTTTCTTGCTGCGTCCATCTTTACTCTGTGTTTACAGTAGGAGGAAGAACAGAGAAAGCCTCTTCCTTCCACCTTATCCTCTATCCTACCTTTGTGACAGCATCCTTTCAGCGTCTGCAGGTTTTCCCTTTTCACCCTTTATCGTTTTCTCATCACAGCAAATTTTTTTTTTGCTAAATTTTTGTTCATATTTGCTGATAGAAGCCATGTCATCTATTTCTAACTTCTATTCTCCATTTTGCCCATTTATCTCTTATCTGAAGCATTGCATACACACCTCTCACCTTCCTGTCCATCTGTTCCATTAATTTCAGCTCTATAATTGGGGTCAATTCAATTATAATATGGGGTGCGGGGCCGTCCTCTTTTAATCATACAGAGAAGAATGGCTACATAAACATGGTAAACATAATTATGACTTATATATTGCAAAGCACACCGACCAGCCACACCACTATACCATGCCACGCTGCAAAAACTGCTCAATGCGACTTAAAGATCCCACTCTGGCCAGATCCCACTCTGACAAAGCATTTTGGGCATATGCCGGAACAAGCCCAATCCATCAGGCAACCCATGGAACCCAAATTTGTTGCCAGACATCTTGTGACGATGCCCTTTTTTGCAGCACAACCTACAAAATATTACGCCAGCAAATACAATGCTGTCGCCAATCGGTGTAATTATGAAACAAAAAAGTGTTTAGTCTCACTATGCACGCAGGATCTGAGACCCTCTGAGACCCCACCTGTATGGGTTCGGATCCTTGTTTTATATAGTTTGATGGGTTCTAATACAGCAGGTTCTAGATGTGTTTAACATTGTATGAAAAATCTGAGTGGATCTGACAGCATTTTAGCAATGCTAACATTAGCAGTCACGACAATGTCCGAGCAATTGTTATTATAGTTCAAAAGCACTTAAAGTTATCTTTGTTATGCTAGATGTATTAAAACTGCAAAATGAGTCATGTGGACTCTTAAGCTTCTGAGTGGTGCTGTTTCAATTAGCAAACGAGAAACAACAGAAAATCTGGATGTATTTTACAGACTTTCGAAGTCAAGAGGTTCAGACACAGTGGGGAAAGCTTCCTCTTACTGTAGTTGGTCACTACAATATGAGATCGTAGGAGGCTCCACTTGGTGGTGCAACCAGGTACTACATTTAATCGACAATGCTTGAAGTGCGTATTGATATCGGGTATTGGCATGTATGAAATATTGAATGACTCACCTTGGTTTGTGGACCAACAAAAAAAAATAAATAAATAATGGATCGGGACTCCACCCACCCCAACTCTATGCCTCCATAAAAATGTTTTCTGCCAGATTTGTCAATGTGTTGTCGGTACATAAGACTGTCATTTTATCTCCAATGCCTACTGTACAGTGCTTTTATGGAATGTGTAGGGAGGATTTAGAGTTTATAGCACGACCAGCCAATATGAGTGGCCACAAGGGATCTAGCATGTTGGGTAGACGGGCGTGAGGATGTAAGGTGTGATCCCAACTCAAGACAGATTCTAGTTGCTAATATACATATACACTGTGTTCCTATTAAACTTACGGAGGAGGTATTCAGCAGCATCTGCCTCATAGTCGGCGTCCTCTGGGAAGTGATCGATCTTCTTACACACACCTCTAAATGTTCCTGCGGAGGAGAAACACGGATCAATCAGTTCATCTCAGATCATCATTTTCCCATAAGAGGAACTCTTTCGTAAGTGGAATACACGTTCTTTTACTTAAAACACATATACACACAAGGGGATTTTTACTCATCTCACGTGAAACTGGAATATCTCAACCTATGCAGGCAGGCAAAGTCCTAAGATTTGCTGCAGTCAAACCAGTGAAAACCAGAGTGAATTATGACTAAATGAAGTATTTTACTGATTGCTGGTGAACCAAAATGGGAATCAGCAAAATGCATTAAATGCAATTTTCTGACTATATCATAGTAGCAGATGCCCTTATTTCTGCTGGCTTAGTATTTACACAGCAGCAACATGAGTGTGTTAGAGGTTCGCAGCAGGTTAAGGGTGCAACTGCTGTTCCTGCTATTTTCTGTAATTGAGTTAATTAGTCATGTTCTGACAAAAATAAATAATAATATAGTCAAAAAAATGTTTAAACTTTAATTCAAGGGTCAATTGAATGAAATGAAATTGGGATTTCATGGAATTGTGCCCCAAGAAATCCCAATTTTAGGAGATGGAACATGAACACATCCTGTAAGTGGACATGAAAATGCATCAAAAACAGGAAAACAAGCAGAGAGAGAGAGAGAAAGAGAGAGACGGATGATGTAGGACAGAGGTGTAGCCTTCAGGCTATGTATGGGAAACACTAATGAAAAGCCTTATCAGTTAGACACACACACGACAAAGACTAAAACACACACAGCCAGGAAACTACAGACATCAAGTGTACACACACACACACTACACACACACACACACACACACACACACACACACAAGCTCATTAAAATGATACATGAACACTATCAATCATATGTGGAAGTAAAAGCCTTCACTATCTAGATTGTTGATATGAGTGTGTGTGTGTGTGTGAGTGAGAGTGTGTGTGTTTTTGTGTTATATTGACTAGGATGCGGTCTCCTACGAGCATGCTGTGTGTCATGCAGAGAGTGACTCATCCTCCTCGACACACACACACACACACAGACACGCACCAACATCCACCAGTATCCACTTGTGCTTGTGGAGTTGTGTGTTTGTTGTGTGTGTGTGTGTGTGTTAACGTGTGCACGTGTGTGACTGCGCCGCATGCAGCCTCCTTCCCACCCATCACTCAGGCCCATTCACACATGGTCAACACCACAGGGGCCATGAAAGAGAGCAGGACTGAGGAGGGATGAAAGGGAAGAGCGGAGAAGAAAGAGCGATGAAGAAGGATGAAGAGAGAGGAAGTGGCATGTGAAAGAGGTTTGGTGGTAAAACGGCACGGGAGAATTCGAGTGAAATGGGAGGATAGAGGCTGCCAATGGACAAATGAGCGACTCAACCTAATTGCTTCTTTGCACATTAAGAGGCTCTTTCCAGTACCCACACTCAGAAAACCATTCATAAATTGATTCATCCAGCTTCATGCAGTCAGCGATAGAAACTAACCTCTGATTGACAAAAAAAAAAAAGAAGAAGAAGAAAAAAAAAAGAGGTTTATAGAGTCTTTCATATCTGGATTTAATAATCTGTAAAAAATGTTCGGATGAATCAAAGTCTGTTTTGCTCCGCTGACAGATAAACACGAGTATGTGAATGCTTCCCACACCCTCATGATGCAGCAATCCGCAGCTCTTTCATGCTTTCATTAATGACTTCTGCACGGTTCAAACTACAACCGCCCATGTCCACAAAAGAATATTCAAACCAAAATTCATATCTGGAGACTTGACTTCCTGTGTGTATACCTACACACAGTTTTGAGGTGGTTGGCTGCATACTCGAAGCCTCTCTTCATTTTCTATCCTGATACTGATTCAGTATGAGCTGAAAAGATTACGTACAGAAGATTAATAGTTTAGCCAATTGAAAGAAAATGAATTGAAATTATTTTAATGTTCAACTATAAAATGGTAAAAGTCAAAACCATCTCAGTTTCAAGCTTGTCAAATGTGATTCTTTTCTGTTTTCCTTATGGCAGTAAAGTGAATACCGTGAAGTCTGTGCAGAATCTCAGGTAAAATAAAATATTTGAAAACATTGTGTTGAGCTCTGACAAACTTTTGAAACTGTTTTCGAACATTTTATGGTTCTAATCAGTTAGGAAATGGTTAACTGAGCATAACTAACAACTAGACTATACAGATTATATCACTCACATTCTCCTATAAAAAAACAAAACAACAAAATCCATGCTGATTTACCTACACTGTAAAAATATCCCATAAAAAAAATGGTGAAAATCTGGCAGCAAATACCTGTTTGAGTAAGTGAAAACCTCAAATAACAAAACTGTTTAGCCTAAATTTTTATCATTTCATTTTTCTTTTGGCTTTGCTAGAATCTCTCTGATGGAGACACTTAAAACGTCTTTGGTGGTTTGAAGGTTGTTGCACTCATCAGCTGAAGAAATTGGAACAGCAGGCAACGCCGGAGAGACGACGCTACTGACGGAACGAGATTTTGACATGTCAAGCGTTATTTGATGCAGGTCGGAAAAGTCTCGTAATCATATCACTAAAAGTCTGACTTATATGATTTCATAGCTTTAACACATAATGTCCAAAAACTATTCATACAGGAGTAAACAATAATGCTTATATTAATTATTGTAAAAGCTAATACACATTTAATCCAGCAGCAGAATGGTGTGTGTGTGTGGGATTGAAGTGAAACAAAGAAAAACGACATTCATTCCCACCATAATGAAGGTGCACGTCACTCACTCCGACAGTGTGAGTCAGTAATTGTGTTTTAATAGTGTTTTCGGACAACAATGGGGGGGATTAGCTCTATCAGAATTAGGCACGTAGGATGGGATTGGTGACAAGAAAAACTATAAAATGCCATTCCTCCTTCTCTTTCAACACGGCCCGCTTTAATTGGATGATACAGTGCGAGCGGAGTCACGGGAGGTAACCAGCAGCCGGAGCTGTTGCCGTCGGGTGCATCAAGGTGTAAAGCGTCATCAATCAGAGCTGCCTGGTGTCGGGCAGCTGGGAAATTCATTATACCTCCTGCCTTTTAAATGAACGGATTTGTATCGAACCGTTTTGATGTATAGTACAACAAACGGTCTCGCACAATGAAATACGCATGAAGGGATGCGCGTGCACACACACACACACACACACACACACACATATATATACACAGTAAATGGAAAGGAGGGAACACATAGATAGATGACTGCTTTTATTTCTCCCTGTTGCAGAGAATCTAAATCACAAGCGAACAAACACACCTAAAACCAGTTAGGCGTACACAAAGACCTTCATTTAAACACGTTTTATGTTGGTGTGCCTGATGATGTCACCCTACTTTATAGGAAAACTAAGACCACGGTTAAAAATAAACACACACGAATGCAGTCATTAAGACCGGTGTGTCGGACCTGCAGGTCAGCGTGCTCATCATGATGATGTGTGAGTAACAAATGGCGCATTGGGAATCTTTAAGACACCGAAACACACACGGATAGATTGGAAAAGGCAACACACACAATCCACCTACAGCACGAATTCTACTAAAATACTACATCTTTAAAACTCAGCATGCACACTGTTAAACTCGTGTGATTTTTACAGAGTGAGCCGGTGTTTGCTTAATTAGGAATACCGTATTTTCTGGACTATAAGTCGTGTTTTTTTTCATAGTTTGGCCGGGGGTGCGACTTATACTCTGGAGCGACTTGTGTGTGAAATTATTAACACATTATTACTAAAAGCTAGGTGGCCACAGCTAGAGGAACGAGTTCGCACATCGGTGCTTCAACACCGTGCTGAGCGGAGAATGCGCCGTGCAACTTTCCTGGAAGTCGTTGGATGGATCAACAAAGGATGGGCTTCGGTGACAACCGAAACCATTCTGTCAGGATTCAGAAAGGCTGGAATGATTGGAACTGCAACTGACGATGAGTCTGACGTAAGCAACGTAGAAGAGGAAGCGCCGCATCTTCTACCTCCGGAGTTAGCGGAGTTGTTTAAAAGTGACACCGAGGATGAAGATTTCATTGGATTTTAGTTATTTGGAGTGATACGGATGGTTTGGTAAACTTCTTAGCATGTTATTTATGCTATAGTTATCTGAATAACTCTTAATATGTTATGTTAACATACCAGGCACGTTCTCAGATGTGTCATGTAACATAAGCATACCGTGCAATTATTCAGCCTGTTGTTGCCTCTATTCTGTTTTTATTTTAAATTGCCTTTCAAGATGACATGTCTGTTCTTGGTGTTGGATTTTATCACATAAATTTCCCCCAAAAATGCGACTTATACTCCAGTGCGACTTATATATGTTTTTTCCTTCTTTATTATGCATTTTATGGCTGGTGCGACTTGTACTCCGGAGCGACTTATAGTCCGGAAAATATGGTAATATGAAATTAAGTTCCACTACAAAAGATGCAATTTTCTTAAAGGTTAAAGAGGACGATATAGCAAACGCCTACACAAATTCACTGTGTGATCTACGGATGAGCAAAAAAGAATCCAAAATCCACAAGCCTTTAGTGCTAGCCAAAACCCTGACAGTAATTTAGTATCCAAACTAGCAGGCACAGCATCACCTACAAGCTCTAATAATGTTTTAGAGAAAATATTTTTAGTCTAATGTTCAAAGTGCATTTCAATAATGAGGTTAAACTAACACACAATGTTTTAAGTGTAACACTCATAAGAGGCTTTTAGGATGTTGTCAGGGCCACAGAAGGAAGAACATCATCAAACCAGCGTACAAAAAATGTTTTAAAGCTGTTATCAAGGCCTCACATGACACTTCTGTTTTGTTAGGTTTTTATAAAATGTTCCTGTAAAGTAATATATTAACAAAGGTACAACATTTCGCAATATTCTAAGAATGTTTTGTGGATTTTACATAAAACATTCCCACAATGACAACAAAGGAAGGACATTTTCAATGACATATTTAGTAAAGAATGTTTGGGCATAAACAGTCT